GTATTTTCCATCCTCAGTCCTATAAAAGCCTGCTCCCATTCAGACCTCACTACCTTCTGCCACCATGAATGCACTCCTGGTCCTGGCCCTTGTGGGAGCTGCTGGTGAGTTTCAAGCTTTGTCCAACCTTCTCCAGTATCTTACTTTCAATGTTTGTTATTTCCCAGGCTGCAGTTTATACTTGTCTCCCTCTATGCACTCTCCACAACATCCTTTGTTGAATTCATGGCCTAGATTACTGAGGCAGAAAGGGAGGCAAAACTGAGGGTGCATAAAATTTACCAAGTGACATATTCCTTAGCAGCAACTGCACTGGGAATCCAACAACATAGTTCTTGATGAATTTCAGACAGAAGAATGGCAACTGACATGTAATCAGACCCTTTGGCGTGTGTTCTCAGGTCATTTCTTCTGTGCTTTTCCTGGAACTCTGAGTATTTCTGAGCCCACTAGAATCCACTCTCCTGCTCTGTAGTCCTTTCCCCTGGCAGATATTTAATCTGAGTGCTGACTACTGGGGACAGTGATTTCCCTGCTTTCTCTTAGTCATTCTGCTCAGATAGTAATACTAAAACAGTGGGAAGGTGATATGGTGCTGAGCAATCCACCCTCCAACAACCTGATGAATTGATTCTTTTGCTTCCTCTCTAGTTGCTTTCCCTTCTGAGACTCTAAAAGCCAAGATACAGGTGGCAAAAACAAATAATAGATGGAAAACTAAAACAGTACGTGGGCAAAGCTGACTTGTAATGGGATCCCACTGTTTGTGTTCTTAGGTAGTTCCTGTTAGTCCAGCCCTGATGCTCAGAAGAGATCTGGGGCTTTTGGGAACTCTCTATCTGTCCTACAGCTGCTGGTAGTGAGAAGCACTACAACCTATATTACCCATAAGACACAGTGATCTGAGTTTTCCTACACTAATTGTGCTCAGTAAAAATCCTAAGGGTTTAAGCTGCCGTAGAGCCAATGGCTTCACTATCTAGCACCCTGATACATTGGTTTATTCTCATTTCCTATCTCCATTCAAGTTGCTTTTCCTGTTGACGATGATGACAAGATTGTCGGAGGATACACTTGCCAGGAAAATTCTGTGCCCTACCAGGTGTCTCTGAACTCTGGGTACCACTTTTGTGGAGGTTCCCTCATCAATGACCAATGGGTGGTGTCTGCTGCTCACTGCTACAAGAGGTAAGCAATGGGCCCCTGGATGCAGAGCTCATGGCCTGAGACATGATTAGAACATAGTTTTGGGCAAGTGGGGAAGTTGTAAGGAAAAGCCATGAAGAAAAGAATTGCTGGCAGTTGCTAAGTATCATTAGCAAGAGTGAAATTTGATCCAGAATAGAAATCCTTTTACTTCCCCAAACAAACCCATGATATAGCAAGGATGATAGGCCATTAAACCCTGACAAATTGATCTGGTTATCATAGACACCAGTGATAAAGTCAATCAAGAAGTTTGTATTAGGACGACTAGCTAAAATGAATAATAACCTCTAAGTTTTCAGAAATCAAGCTAAATATTGGTTAAATCAATGCAGTCTGTACTGTGTATTCTCAGTCCTGAATATGTATCACAAAGATGACAAGTTTTCTTAAAACACTGAACCCAGGGCTAGGTTCTGGCTCAGTATTTCTGGATTTGGAAGCCAGAATGTAAGCTTCTCTCAGGGTCCTATGTCACACTGGTGTGGGTCCTGGCACAACTCTTCGGTCTCCACAGGATTAGGTTCTACATAGTAATAGTTTTTAACAAAGCAAGAAGTATTTGTCATAGTTCCTTCTCTAGTTAACAAAGACTCAGAGGGCGAAGTGTACATCAAATGTCACCTTGGAGCCATATTGGTGGATGTATCAGAGTCTGTAGTATGACAGGTTAAAAACCAGCCCAAACTGATCTCCTTTATATTATACCCTATATACCAAGAACCTCTGTAGATGAAAGATTCTGCCTAATCAGAAATTGTCCATCACTGAAGAGTTTCTCCTCTGAGCTACTCCTGTACATAAAGTTTGGAACCTGTGGTGTATTTGGGATAATGTGTTGAAACTCTCAACCATGTCTCTTCTTTCCAACAGCCGCATCCAAGTGAGACTGGGAGAGCACAACATCAATGTCCTTGAGGGCAATGAACAGTTTGTCACTGCTGCCAAAAGCATCAGGCACCCCAAGTTCAATTCGAAGACCCTGGACAATGACATCATGCTCATCAAGCTAGCTTCCCCTGTGACCCTCAATGCCAGAGTGGCCACTGTAGCTCTGCCCACCTCCTGTGCACCTGCTGGCACTCAGTGCCTCATCTCTGGCTGGGGCAATACCCTTAGCTTAGGTGGTAAGTATGACATTTACCTACTCCATCCTTTCCTCCCCATGTTTCCAAAACCAGACTTGTCTCTGGATTTGAACTATTTGCTTTTGCTTACCAAACTCGTTTGAACTACTAACTATAAGAAATATATCGTTGGTAACAAAGGACTAAAAAGTACCAAGAAGTTCACTTCCTGTAACCTAAAGATAACAAATATACACTGTGTTATTATACTGAAAACAGGATCAACAATGGTCATTTTATAGTTTGAGAAAGCTTTAATTCTTTGTTGGAATTTATATACTTAATGAATTCTCTGACAGTTAGCCATGGTGTTAAGGG